CCTCTCCTCTCCTCTCCTCTCCTCTCCTCTCCTCTCCTCTCTTCTACCCTACCCTACCCTATCTATCCTACCTACCCTACCCTACCCCTACCCCTACCCCTACCCTTATCCCTACCCCTATCCCTATCCCTATCCCTATCCCTATCCCTATCCCTATCCCTATCCCTATCCCTATCCCTATCCCTATCCCTATCCCTATCCCTATCCCTATCCCTATTCCCATCCCATCCCATTTAAGAAGTGGTGCCTGTACGCTGAGGATCCGCTCCTGAGATCTGCATTCCAGAACATCTCGGTTCCGGGGCCTCCCTAGCTCTGCTCCCCCCACAGCAGGGCCCCGGGCCGGGTGAGGGCGGGCTCGACGTGGGCGTGGACGCGGCCACCCCTTGCTCCGCTCCCTCCGATCCGTCCCGTCCTGTCCCGTCCCGTCGAGGCGGGGAGCCCACCAGCCATGCCGCCACCGTGCCCCCGCGGAGCCCTGCCCGGGGCCTTCCTCCTCTTCTTCCTCTTCTTCGTCGTGCCGTTGCTCTGCGCAGCTCCCGGTGAGTGAGCGCGAGCTCAGCTTTCCGTCGCAAGTTCAGCATCTCTCCCCTGTAACTCTTTTGTTTGCAGTCGCTGCGCCGGGAGATGGTTTGTGGGGAGCCTGGTGGGGAACCCGGCTCTGGCTGTGCTGGCAACCTCTGCTGGCATGGGGATCCATCCCAAGAAGCGTTGGAGAAAGAATGTTGGGTTGCAGGAAGGTTCCCTACAGCTTCTGTTGAACTGAGGCAGGGAAACGGGGGCACGGGGAGGTGCGGGTGGAAGCATGCTCCAGGTTTTCTTTTTTTAGTAGGAAAGGTAGGAAGGAGTCGTTTTGCCACTGTCATTTCCTTCTTACCAAATAAGAGTGGATAGATAAGCATGCATTATATTTTTACTTCTCTAGATATTTCAAGAGGAAATAAACTTAAGCGGATGCTTCAGAAACGAGAAGGTAAATAGAGAAGCAGCCAATTGCCTGCTTGCTTCCCTGCATGTTCAACTGCCACCCATCACAGATCTCAGGGTGCTGCTGCTGTGCCCCTGTCCCAGAGGCAGCACAGCACTCAGGAGCTGTGTAAGCACTCCAAGCAGACCCCACCATGCACAGCTCTGCTGCACCATGAGCGCACACGGCGGCCACGCGTCCCTCCCATTCCTGCAGCTGCAGCACACAGAGCCTAAGCTCCCATTCTCCATTTGGACTTTGTATTTCAATTCCGTGTGTAACACGTCTTGAGCTTGGGATAGCTGTGATAAAAGCAAAGAGAACCGGGGTAGCTATGAGGCCATCATATCGGCAATCCCTATTTTTATTATTGCTTCACACAACGCTCTGCCGAGCACAAAGATGATGAAATAACACCAGAAATATGGCACAATTTAGGCTGATTAAGCACTTCTCGGCCTCTCTTTGGGGGGGGATTCATTCCAGCCCCCATTGCCACGAAGCCAGAGGTGTCGCTGAAGGAAGAGGCGGCCAAGGGGTTCCTGCGCAGCCTGAGGCGCCCGCGGCGGCAGCTGTGGGACCGCAGCCAGCCTGACGTGCAGCAGTGGTACCAGCAGTTCCTCTACCTTGGCTTCGATGAGGCGGTGAGTGTGGGGCTTCCCCAGGCTGTGGGGTCAGGTGGGGGTGTGGGAAGTTGTAGTGAGGTGGGGGTCAGCTTCTTCTTTTGGGTAACAGTGATAGGAGGAGAGGGAATGGCCTGAAGTTGTGCCAGGGGAGGTTCAGGTTGGATATTAGGAAAATCTTCTCAGAAAAAGCAGTGAGACAATGGCACAGGCTGCCTGGGGAGGGGGTGCAGTCACCGTCCCTGGAGGTGTTCAAGAACCATGTGGATGTGGCACTGAGGGACGTGGTCAGTGAGCATGGTGGGGATAGGCTGGTGGTTGGGCTAGATAATCTTCATGGTCTTTCCCAACCAATGTTACCTACCTGAAGTGGAGTGTGCAGCTCTCACAGCTGTGCTATGACCCTGCATGGGAAAGAACACTGCCTGGTAACGTTCAGCCAACCTCCTTTTGAACCATGAGGGTATATTTCTAAGCAGTAACAACACCGGGGTAGGATCAGGAGCCCCCAGGTGGTACACACACTGCACAGAGCTCTGCTCAGCAGACACTGTGTTCAGTTGCAGTCCCAAGCATAGAATAATCCACGCATAAATAAGAGGTAAAAATAGTCATAGATGCTGGATTCTTGGCTTCTGACAGCTGCATGCGTGTGCTTAATGAGATTGCATTGGCACAGGCAAGCTGGAATGCACATTAGACCTTCATGTTATGTGGATTGCTTAGAAAATGAATGCATTCATTTTCAAAACTGGAACAATTTAAAAAAAAAAAATCTTTTGCTTGCACTGAAATAATGAAGGATACATTTTTTGTTGCTCCTGGACATTATGCAGATAAAAGTGACTTTTTAACAGCGAGGCTACACAATATGGAAATTAACAAAAGCAGTTTTATGAATCAGGAACTGAAGGCTGGGTGCATGTAGTAAGAAGTTAAGTAGAAAGGGCAAACCATGCAGACAAGATGGGTTCCTCTCTACAAGTTCCTGTGTGCACTGACAAATGAAACCAGGCCTGTTGTGGGAGGCGAGTCCACTCAGGAGGTTTTGTGGAGTATTAAGACACAGCTTTAACAATGAGATAACTGTCAGTTCCAGCAACGCTTCAGAAAGGACTTAGGCTGTGTTTATCCATTGTGTATTTTGCAAAACTTTACAAATCTCAGCCAGAAATATTTCCAAAGAGCCATTCAGATGGAAAGGCTTTGTCTTGGCGAGCATTCGATATCCTTGCACACTGTTTTTCCACTGCTGCCGTGAGCTGCTTCTAGAGCCTTATGATTTTACAAGAGAAAAATAACAGGCATAAAGCAAAGGGCGATGCACCCGCTTTGCACTCAGGTATGCCGTGACTACAGCATGGGGAATTGTGAAACCAGACTGGTACATCTCCCAGAGAAAGTCTCTTAGCTGCAGTTTTGTAAAGCAGGCAAAGGATTTCTGAAAAGATATTCCAGATCTGAATTATTCGCGTGAGCCAAAGGGAACCCCTCTTTCATCTTTTTCTTTCCATTTCATTCTCTTCTTTTCTTCCTGGCAGAAATTTGAAGACGATATGTCCTACTGGACGAGCCTGGGGCGTGGTGGCAATGAGTACTACGGGGGGTACTACCAGCACCACTATGATGAGGACTCACCCATCGGCCCCCGGAACCCACACACCTTCAGGCATGGGGCAGGAGTCAACTATGATGATTACTGATGGCTTTTGTCCTCCTACAGCTGGGGTGCATGGGGCTGGGCAAAGCCAAGCCCTCCCCCAGTCAATGTCTCTGTTTCCCTCCTGTTTATGTACAACAGCAGGAGCCAAGGAGCTGCCAAGAAAGAAACATGACTTTTCTTTTGGTATTGTTACTTAGTAGTATGCGATATATGAAGTGTTACAGAAATAAAGCTTTTTTGATAAAGCTTCCAATTATTTAGTAGAGTCTGTAACAGCGAGTTTCATTAAGCCATACTACTGGAAAGCACTTTTAAAAAAGGTTTCTTGCTACTTTTTCTACACTCAATCACAAAATTACATCATATCATCTAGGTTGGCACACAGAGTATGTAGCATAACCCAGCTCATTTCAGATGTGCTTACTCATTCAGTTTTGTATCAAGAGACAAATCCAATTATTCCTCAGGGGTGACAGCAGGGAGAGGGAGGTGATTGTCCCCATTTGCTCTGCCCTTGAAAGGCCCCACCTGCAGTACTGCATCCAGGCTTGGGGCCCTCAGCACAGGAAGGATGTGGAGCTGTTGGAGCAGGTCCAAAGGAGGCCATGAGGATGATCAGAGGGTTGGAGCACCTCTCCTATGAAGACTGGCTGAGGGAGCTGGGCTTGTTCAGCCTGAAGAAGAAAAACCTCTTGGGAGACCTCATTGCAGCCCCCAGTACTTGAGGGAGCTTACAGGAAGGGAGACAAACTTTTTGTGTGGTCTGAGAGTGATGAGACAATGGTTGAGACAATGGGGAATGGTTTTAAACTAAAAGAAGGCAGGTTTAGGTTAGATGTTAGAAGGAAATTCTTTACTTAGAAGTTGGTGAGGCACCCTGGAGGTGCTCAAGGCCAGTTTGGATGGGGCCCTGGGCAGCCTGAGCTGGTGGGGGGAGCCCTGCCCATGGCAGGGGGTGGGGATGAGTGGGCTGTCAGGTCCCTTCCAACTCAAACCATTCTGTGATTCTGATTCTATGGAAAGAAGAAAAAATTCCTTTCAATTGAATTGCTGCCTTGCTGCCTCCTCTGCTATTGCCATACCCACTGCACGCAGCCTTCCCACCCAGCCTTGAGTGACATGGAGCTTTAACAGATCCTGTTGGCAAGGAGACCAATACTGCTCCCAGTGCAGAAAAACTTGCCTTCCTCCAGAGCCTGTCATAGGAAGGGATCCTCTGGGGCAATGGCTGCAAGCAGGAATCTGATTTCAGAAGTAGTAGCTGAGATGCAGTGTCCAGACTCAGAGCCCAGTGACCACCTCAGGCAGAAGCTGCCTGTGAATGTTGCCCAGGTTCTGTCCTTCCTGCTTAGCTGCAAGTTCTCAGTCCAGCCTGAAAGAGGAGTAAAATAACAAAATAAGGGAGCCAAACTGAACGAGCATGTAAGTCACTCCTCTGCACACACGTGTGCACTCACACTCATGTAATGTCCTTCAGAGACCCACCATACCCCTAGATCTTGGAGCTCTTGCACTAAGCAGTAGACTCATTGCCAGTTTAATGGTTTTAAACTGCTGTGTTTCCCAGGAAAGGAGACCCTTTATTCCAGGTACGACATAGTCATGTTCTGAGTCAAGCACATTCTCTTTGCACAGTTGGAAAACACCTATTCCTACCAAAACAGTTCTATTTTATGCCCTATAAGAAAAAGTGCAAAGGATTTGGCAGTGTTTGAACCACACTGATAATTTCCATCATTTCCCAGAATATAAAACTGGGAATTCAGACCTGCAGAGTAAGAAGAATTTAAAGTGCTGCAAATAAATGCCATCCATCCATAGGCCTTTGCAAGCTGTGTCTGTTCCTGCAGGCTCACTCAATCCTGCAGCTGTGTCTTGCACACTCCCACAAAATCTGGGTTTTCCAAGACATAAAAACAAATATTTTCCATTACACTGTGCTGCAGTTTCCCACCATGTGCTGAGTATGGAATGAGCACTTCATGGTGCTGTGTTGGGAATTTGTGATTAAAATTGTCTCGAGAACAAGTGAGCGGGTATGAGCCACCACAGGTTTGTGCAAAAGGAGAACTGTTATTTGTCACCAATGCATGGAGTGCTTCAAAGTTAACCACATTAATAAAGTTCACAAAATTCACTCAGAATTGTAGGAGTTGGAAGGGACTTCTGGAGTCCATCCCCTGCTAAAGCAGGCTCCCTACAGCAGATTGCAGAGATAGATGTCCAGTGGGTTTTGAATATTCCCAGTGAAGAAGACTCCACAACTTCTTTGGGCAGCCTGTTCCAGTGCAGAACTTACAGCAGAACTTTTTCCCCAGTTCAGATGGAGCTCCCTGTGTTTTTGTTCATTGCCCCACGTCCTGTCACTGGGTGCCACTGAAAAGAGCCTGGCCTCATCCACCTGACTCCTATCCTTTAGATGTTTATAAGCGTTGATGAGATCTTCCCCAACCTGAACAACCTCATGTCTCCCAGCCTTTCATCAACAGGGAGATGCTGCAGGCCTCTCACCATCTTTGCAGCCTTCAGTTGGACTGTCTCCAGCAGTTTGCTATCTTTCTTGAACTGAGGAGCCCAGAACTGTACACTATACTCCAGATCTGGCTTGACCAGGGCAGAATAAAGAGAAGATCACCTCTTTTGACTTGCTGGCCATGCTTTTTGTAATGCATCCTAGGATCCCATTGGCCTTATTGGCCATCAGGTGACACTGTGTGCTCATGGCCAACACAGTGCCCACCAAGACATGCAGGTCCTTCTCTTAAGAGCTACTCTCCCCACACTTGCTCTTATTGAACCTCATCAGGTTCCTCTCCACCCTGCTCAGCAGCCTGCCCAGATGTCAGTGAATGGCAGCACAGCCTTCTGGTGTATCAACCATTCCTGGCTTTGTATCCTCAGCAAGTTAATGATTTTCTCTGAGTATTTCCGTCCCCAAACACAAACGGAAGACTCCCTCTCCCAACTGTTCTCTTCTGCTCACAGATAGCATCACATCATCGTCCCTGGCCGACTCCACACTGACACCATGTAACCTCTCCACTAGGACAGAAAAGTGGCATTGTTCATTGTGGCTTCCTACAGAACAGGGATAAACAGGCCACAGCCCGTATCTTAACATTCCACAGCCTCACAACGCCGCATCCCCAGTTTGCAGGTGTCAGCCACAGAAGTCAGCCAGAATCATGCGCTTTTATTCCAAAATTGTTTCCTGGATAGGAGGTGTAGTTTTCCTTCCTTGTAATGGTGGGGTGGACAGAGCCTAGAATGAGGTACTTGGCTTTGATAGCAGTTTGGGTATGACACTGCTTCATGCTTTGGACTTTTCAGCTGGCTCAGCCATGGCACAGAGCAGAGGATCTTCTCCTTGCCAAAGAAAGAGTCAAAATCTAGGCAAAACAGCAAGGATGAAACAGCTGTTCCTTGTTCCAAGCTATAAAGCAGCAACAAAACAAGGCAGACAAGAAGTTGTCACCACATTTGCTATTATAGGTAGGTGAGTAAGAGAAGGGACTAGAAAAGAGTAGGGAACCAGAGTGATTATTTGCTGGAAATATGAATTAATTCCTACCATATTTCAATTATTTCCCTACTGATACGGAATCACCCTTTGGAATCTCCTGTCATAGGGAAGGAGCTCCACTTTTGTCCACAGCTATGGCTGCTATTTGTTGTAGCTCTGAGTCGGTGCTGCAAATAAGAACTTCAACATGCGAAAGCTTTTCACAAGCGTGGCACAATACAGGTCTCAAGACCACAAATATGACTCAGGTGGAGATTTCCATCTTGGTCACTCTAGCATACATAAGTACTGTCTGTATGCCAGCAGTCCCACTGAAGTCCAGATCTTTTCCATGCCATGCCAGCAGTGGGAAATGTTTAGAACAAAGCCACTATGGAGCTGTGATGGCTACATTTCCACTGCTTTCAGGGGGAGGATGTATGGATGTTAGGACTGGCAATGCTAAGTATACACTTCCCTTACTGTTAACAAAGCATCCTTTTTCTGTGGACAAATCTCTGAGCAGCCTCTAACAACATACAAGGACTTCCTGGCCTCAAGTAGCACTGAACTTGGTACTAATAAAGGCCTGGGGACTGCCTTAATCCATCACACTAATCACAGCCCTGTTTTGCTCTTTAGCCTGTTCTCCAGGGCTAATGAATTTATGTAACTGCATTTGTCATTTCTCCTTGCCTGCTTCAACTCTAAACCTGATTTCAAACATATTTTTACAGTGGTGAACTTTTTTTGGTCAAATATATATTTCTAAAAGTTTCTGGAAAAAAAAAGAGGCATTCATAAGTATCCCCTGGGCAGTGGTTGCTTAGCCAGAATCATAGAGAAGCTGCAAATGCCTCAGACACAAGAAAAGACTGTCAGATGACTACTTTTTTCCCCCAGAGCATAAAATCTAACCTAAAGATAAGACACAAGGCTTCTCTAGTCTGTGTGATCACGCAACTTATTGCTTAAATTGCATCTACACGCCTCATTGTGCTGCCTGTGGATAAATAATGTACATTACAGAGCTTCTGAGCAGCTCTATGTGTAGAAATAGAAGTATATTATATATTAAAAAAGCAGTAATCTAACAGTGGATCTCTTAGAATCATGTAATAGTTTGGGTTAGAAGGGACCTTTAAGATCAGCTAGTTCCAACCCCCCTGCTATAGGGAAGGACACCTCCCTCTAGACCAGGTTGCTCACAGCCCCTTCCAGCCTGGACTTGAATGCTTCCAGGGAGGGGGCATCCACAGCCTTGCTGGGCAACCTGTTCCAGTGTCTCACCAGCCTCACAGTAAAGAGTTCCTTCCTAATATCTAGTCTAAATCTACTCTCTTCCAGCTTAAAGCCACTTCCCCGTATAAAAAGTCCCTCCACAACTTTCCTGTAGGACCCTTCAGGTACTGGAAGGTTGCTATAAGGTCCCCCAGGAGCCTTTTCTTCTTCAGGCTGAAGAGTCCCAGATCTCTCATCCTGTCCTTGTAGAGGAGATGCTCCAGCCCTCTGATCATCTTCATGGCCCTCCTCTGGACCCATTCCAACAGCTCCATGTCCTTCTTGCGGAGGGTGTCCCAGAAGTGGACACAGTACTACACGCAGGGCCTCCTGAGAGCAGAGCAGAGGGGCAGAATCACCGTACTCAACCTGCTGGTCACGTTTCTCTTGATGCAGCTCAGGATACGGTCGGCCTTCTGGTCCACAAGTGCAC